TCGCACGACTCAAAAATCGGCTCAAAATGGGCCAAAAATTGCACAGTGTAAGCCCAGCATTAGTGGACTAAGCCACCAGCTCATCCCCAGTCTTCGGATGTCGTGAGTCGGCTGCTTGACTCTGGGGACAGAACTGGGGCTGCGTCTCTACCTCGGCCATCCCGCATCCCTTACTTGGCCATCCACTCCGCAGCAGTGGTGGGCTGACCTGAAGTGGTCACTCAGTTACAGTCCTTGCATCCTACGGGACTTGCTTAGGCTAGTCTTGCGTCTGGCAGACTGATGCCTCCGCCCCCTGGCTCGGCCTTTGTATCTGGCGAAGCCCTGACCGGGGTGGCGTGTATATATGTATATTTGTAAATAGTTCATTGGTACTTTCACTCTGTGATTCGGGTGCACTGTCTCCTCGCAGGGTGTCTGTCTTACATAGTTACCCTGTATATATAGAATATGTGACGGAGTGGAGAGATAGTCTCGATATGATAGAGAACGTACAGTTACATTGTAACCTTGGCTCTCTGAGTGAGAGACTCTCTCTTCAGGCTGCTTGGAGAAGCATCCTGATCAAACTATCACCAGTGTTTGCACAGCTGTTTTTTATACGTAAGCTGTGGAGTGTAAGAGTGTCTTAAAGAAATATCCACATGCCACGACCAAGGTCATACCCCGTACATATAGAATGTAACAGCATGGAAATAGAGTCTCTCACTCAGAGAACAAAGGTTACAATGTAACTATATGTTCACTCAATGCTCAGTAAACATCAGGTTCACAGAATCTGTTATTTGTTTTAAAATATAGTCTACTCCATTTCCACTAAGCCTCTTACTTCCTACTTAAACACAATCAATCAGTCAATCAATAGTTATTAGTGGTAGTTTTTTTAAAAGTGTTATAAGTGAACTGCTGTTATTTTGTACTTACCTGCAAACACACAGACAAAAAGCAGCAGAGTACAGCAGAGCGACTCACTCGCTGCAGTCATTTTCTCCTTTTTCCAGTTCAAACTCCAGCTGTTAAAAATCCAAGGATGCTGATGTTTTCAGGAACAAATTCTGAAACTGTAGATATCAGGTAGCTGCTTTTAACAGTCTTTGTTTGATTTGAGGTTGAGGGTGTGTGTGCAGTGGAAAATCAGTTAGTGGGAAGGCAGGAGAGATGCATGTCCGAGCATGAAAGTTAAATAACAGTGAAATAACAGCAGTAACTAGGAATGTGGGCTTGACCGAGGACCCCGTTCTGCTCCTGTTTTACATATATCATAAATACACAGAAAGTAACGAGGGAAGTGGAAGCACACGGGGAACAGAGCTGAGGACAATTACACATGACAGAGTGGGGACACGAAACTGAAAACGCTGACACCAAGACACGGATCTTAAACATAACACAGACAGTGCACAGAGACAGCAGAGAGAGAGAGAGAGAGAGCGAGAACACGATTGAAAGAGGAGCAAAGCACAATAACTCACATCACCATATACACAGTCGCACAGAGGGAGACACAGAGGAGAAATCTAATAAACAATACTGAGCAGAATATCCTAGGAAACCTCAACATAATGCAAAATATGACAGAAAACGCAGGACACTTAAACTGTTGGGTCACAATGACCCAGGACCATGGCAGGAACATCAATGAGCACATGTTAGGTTTTATTACATACCCTGCATTGAGAAATAACAATTCAGCTGCTTTCCAAAACATAACTGACCTCAGCCCATTCAGTGATGTCCAGAAAGTACTAATAAAATATTCTATCATGTACAGTTTTGCCCCCAAAATGTGATTTAAAAAAAGAAAACATTCAAAATCAGTTTTTTGTGCTTTCTCAAATCCTAATAATCTGGAGACAAAACATCATCAGGCACGTCTGATTTTTTGAGTAGATCTTTACAATAAAACCCATGCTGAGATGGTTTAGGGGATTATTTGCCCATATCAGGTTAACTGGTTACCTAGCAAAATGAACAGGGTTTACATGGCCTACTGTACATAAAAAGAAGGGAGACTAACTGATCCAAATGCCTGCAGGGAAATTAAAGTGATATGACTTCATTAGAAATAAAAGTGCACATTTCACTGGTGCCTACAGGCACAGTCGTGTCTGGGCTTGAGCTACAGTCAGTTTCTGTAGTTAGTTTCAGTCTCTGCTGGTTTAACAAACATTAAAGGAGAGCTGAATAAAAGTTACAAATGCTGGAAACTCTAATAACAAGATTAAAAGAAAGTTTCTTCCTCTTTGACATCTTTGGTGTCAAAGGTCAAACTCAGGTACAGCCACAGATCTCAGTACAGATAGATATTCAGAGTATCATCAGAGCAACAGCTTTAAAATTGATTGAGTACCAGGGCTCAATCTGTTTAACTGAACAACATCTTTAGAAACAAACATCAACAACCAGGAAGCAGCTTCACCTCTGATCACACACACACTCAACTCTACTCACTCACCTGGAGGAACAACAACACTCAGGTAGATGATGCTGATGCAGTTACCACTTAGATGAGCTCTGTTCTTTGACTTGTTTTCTCCTCTGACACGACACTCATATGTTCCAGTGTCATTAGTTGTCACATTCTTCAGAATCAAAGACACGTCTCCATCCTTCATCCGTCTGTCCTGCAGATCCACCCGGTTCTTGAATGATGGATGCTGGCTGGCTGGATCAAAGTGCCCATCCTGGTACAAAAGGACATATGTTTGATTTGTATCAGGTCTGCTCCACTCTACACCTATGATGGTGTTTAAAGCTTGACATGGCAGAATGATGTTCTGTCCAGACTGAGCTGTGACGTTTTTCTCTGAAAGAGAAAACAACACAGAACAGAGGTTGAACTCTTCTTTCTACAGCAGCCAATCAGAGTGAGAATATGAGAGAGATCATTGGCTTACAGTTTTTTTTTCTTTCATTCTTTGTGATTCAGTGTCAGTCCTGCACTCTGTCTGCAAAGCATTCATGTATATGTTTAATCCACCTGCTTTCACTAAAAAGCACCCTGGGTCAACAGCTTCTGTTACTTGTAAATGAACCAAAAAGGCGTGTGTTACTGCAGCTTCCAAACTACAGAAATCTTCACAGTATCTCCAACATGCTGATTTTGGTAGATGTTTTAGTGCCAGGACACTTACTGCACACCAGGGGGGAATTGAACTTGCGATTCACACTCCAAAAGTGTGTAGTTTTTCCACTACATGATCCAGCTGCTCAGAGATGAGATGAATTGTCTCAGTCTGGTGGGTAACCTTGGCCGATAGCAGGACACTGCAGTGTTGCCAACTTAGCGGATTTGTCGCTATATTTAGCGAGTGTTCAGACCCCCTTAGTGACTTTTTTTTCTAAAAACCAACTACAGACAAATCTGGCAACTTTTTTGGTGTTATTGGAGACTTTTTTTTTTTTTTGACGTGAAATCGCTCTTCTCAACAAGCAGCGGTGGTGTCGTGGGCACATCGCCCGTGCCAAAGCACTCATAGGCGGAGGATATTCCTCCCCCAGCGGCTATCAGGGCAGCTGGGGGAGCCGCACCGGCGGATAGGGGCACCAATCACTGGCAGGGAGTATTGCAGGGGGAAATAGGCTCTCACACCTGGGTTACCTGAGACACAATGGATGCAGTACAGACACTCACACTCCCCCTATATACTCTATACACCCAGGTCCAGGCATCAAAACACCCAAAGATCTCTTGGACTGTGTAAATGACCTGGCACGACTCAGGTGTGGGATGCTGACAATCGTCTTTCTTTATATTTTGCCCGGCGCTCTGCTGGCACTGCCACAGTTGTATTTTCACACTGCATGAGCAGTTGCTTCACCCTCAGCTCACTTCTCTCCTCCTCCGGCCCCAGCAGCTACTGAAATAGTGAAGGTATGATTAGATGATGCTTGCTGGCTGTGACAACCAGCCTCCCCTGACACCACACCCTGAACCCACTGCTCCCCCCCTCCTCATGCAGCCGAGTCACAAACCACAGTCCACCACAGACTCCTACTAATAATCAACATGAACACGACAGAATTAATCAGCATTTTTAAAATAACAATTCTCAAGGACACACATTTCCTGGCTGTCTTCGCTTGTTATCAGTTCCCAAAACACACTATTGATACATTTCCACGCATGAGCGTTGTGAACACAGACCTCTCTACATTACCTGGGAACACTGGGTTGTTCTTTATTATCACAAAACACAAACACATTTTTTTTTGACAGTTTCAACAATTTACTGGACAAAGTTACAAGTTGCAAGACAGAGACATTCCTGCCTCTGTCACACAAAAGTGGAAAATATATTTGTTTTACATTTAATCAAAATAAAGAAATAAACTGTTGGCAGATCAACGTTTTACAACGAATCATCCATCAGTAAAAATGTTACTCAATTCTAATACAACAAATTCAACTATCATATAAAAAAAAATCCAACCCTGCAGTTGGACGCAAACTTTCTAATCTGACATCACAAAGTTATTCTGAAGCTGTAAATCTAATTAAAAACTCCCCAAAACTGCTATGAGAAAACCCTTAAAAGGTTCAATGAAAAAAGAAAAATTCTTTACATATAAAATCAACAATCTTCACATTTCAGAAACTGGAAGCAGCTTTAAATGTTACTAAAATAATGATAAAACAATCAATTCTCTAATCGTTGACAAACTGATGAATCAACTGATGCAGCTTCAATATATTGTTGCATTTGACAACCCACTACAGCAACTACCGAATAAAACCACTAACCAGATTGATTAAAGATTTCAAACATGTTGAATTTGAAGAGTAGTATCATTTAACTCACATTATCAGCCATAAGAACAAATTCAGATTTATAATGATGTAAGGTCTATAGATGTAAGTACAGTTTGAATCAATGGGCCACTAAAGCCTCATTTAGAAACTACACAAGTACATATAATGATCAGGGATCAACATGAACCTGTCTTCTCTGTCTATTTGACTTTAATCAGCTCTGCACTGTCTCCAACTTCAGAAAGATAAAGTCCAGCGTGGAGCGGCTGAGTGAATGTGGTCTGGACTCTGTGGAGGAGAGTCATGGTTTCAGAGACGCTGTAGAAAGACAGAATACCTGCTCTGTGATCCAGATACACTCCTACTCTGGAGGACTGAGGACCTGAGAGGAGAGTTCGGACATCGTTGTGCCAAAATTGAAAAATGTTTTTGTAACAATTTAATACCCAAGATTTCTCATTCCATCCAAAACAACATTTATTGAGGCCCCCTGCTCTGCTGATATTCTTGTATGTGACTGCTATAAAAACCATTTCCCCTCTCCACTCCACCTCCCAGTAACAACGTCCAGTCAGGCTCTCTCTACTCAGGATCTGATGGCATTCAGTGAATCTGTCTGGATGATCAGAATAAGACTGTTGTTGTTTCATTCTTGTTACTTTTCTGTTCCCGTCAGATAATAACAGATGTGTGCTTGCTGTGTTTGGATCCAGTGTGATTTCATATGAATATTTTAAGAATCCAGCTCTGGTCTTTGGCTCTGCTGGTGACAGTAAAACATCCACTTCAGTGACTGTCAGTGAGATGTTTGTCCATTCCTCTCTCAGAATGTCCTGTAGTTTATCTCTGGTCTCTGACACAGCTGCTGTCACATCCTCAAAGTAGCTCAGAGGACGAATATTGATGCTGGATGAGTGTGTAGACTCACTGAGTGCTGACAGTGAGGGGTAGTTGTGTAGAAACTGGTTGTGATCCTCTGTGTGTGAGAGCTGCTCCAGCTCGCCGTCTTTCCTCTTCAGCTCAGCGATCTCCTGCTCCAGCTTCTCCTGAAGCTCTTTGACTCGACTCACTTCAGTTTCCTGCTGGGATCTGACCTGCTGCTTCACATCAGAGCTTCTTTTCTGGAGGAGACGGATCAGCTCAGTGAACATCTTCTCACTGTCCTCCACTGCTTTATCAGCAGAGCCATTGATGGCCTCCACCTCCTGTTGAAGCAGCTTCACATCTTTCTCTCGCTCCTGGATTCTCTGCTGGATGTTTAGTCGTCTCACCTCGAGCTCCTTCTGCTTCTCAGTCCTTTCTGCTGTCCTTCGGTCCAGCTGAACTCCTTTCTGTGCCATTTCTCCTCTGTGTCAGTGACTGTGTGAGTTTCTCTTCCTTATAACTGAAACTAGTCTGAGCTCTGATCACAGCAACATGTGTTTCTGCAGTGGACAAAGCCCCTCAGCTCTTACACATCACCACATGTTGGTTACACCAATGTTCAAAGTGCACAAGTACATTGGACATCAATGTCTCACAGTTGTCACATGGCCAGACTCTAAACCTGTAACTGTCAGAATAGCAGAGGCTGCTGCATTAAGTAAATCATATATATAGCAGGGTTAGATTAGCAGACATGTGCTGACTAACAAAACCCTGTGTTATTGCTGGTTGTCCAAGCTTTTTTGTTTTTAGTCAGTGGGAGATGTTTCTGGTGGACGAGAGCTAGATAAATGCCACTGCATTGCTTTACACAACATAAAGTCAGCAGACCCTGCACATATAAATACATACATAACTGCAAAAAGTTAGTAACTCAAAAGAATTTTGCATCTTGTTTTGCATTTATAATAGCTGCTGTACAAGAAATAACCATGTTCTTTACATAAAAATAATTATTTTTTTCATCTTTTTCCATCTGATGTGGCAAGCACTTTGTCCCCTTTACTGCCTATAAGGAAAATATATTTTCTAGTGCTTATTTGCTGTGTATTTTGCTTTATGCATTTAATAACAGGCCTGTATATTAGATGCCACCTTTTAGTTATAAACTGTGTCATAGGTCATTAGATTGCTTAGCAAGTCTGAAACTGTGCAGAACAGGAAGCTTTGTGCAGAGTTGCAGAGGACATCGTCTATTTTTATGCTGGAAAATCTAGAGAAATTCGGGAGAATGGTGGCTCCAGGAGATTTTCGGGAGGGGCACTGAAATTTGGGATTCTCCCGGAAAAATCGGGAGGGTTGGCATGTATGCATATTTGGTGGTGTTTTTAATGTGACAGAAGAGACAGAAGCTGGGGGATGTTTGGTCATTTGTTCTTACACAGGCTGTTGGGCAATTATAGAATATTTTCAACCAAGTTTCCAAACCAAATTTGTGTAAAGTTGCAAATAAAAATAAAAAACTACATGAATAGTCGCATCCCTGTTTCGACACACCTGAATCAAATGAATGGCTTGTAAGCAGGAAATTGCCACACTTGATAGCCTGCTGAAGAGGTAATGCAACCATTTGATTCAGCTGTGTGGGAGTAGGGCTGAGTCTAAAAGCTGCAGGACAGTAGCTCTCGGGGACTGAACTTTTTTTTTTAAATTATTTGAACATATATGAGTGTTTGTGTATAAATACACAAACAATACACATATGCTTTCATGCTTTCAATTGTGTAATTTAAGTGATCTAGGTAGCTCTGTTGTGGAAGTTCAGTTTAACGCTAGCAACGTAGCTGTTTAGTACAGGTGTTGGGAATGCGTCTGTGTATATACACCTTAGCTTAGGGCTGCCCTTTGCCATTTTAATACTCCATTGTAAAAGAAAAATGCTTTTTGTTTCAGAGAAAACATTTTCACGTTCAAAGGTATTGAGTTTTTGGTGTTTGTCGAGAACAGTAAGTATTTCACAAATAAGACATTAAAAAAAAGTTTGTCTCAACCAGTTCTCAAAGCTGCCATTTGGAGGTTTACAGTTTATTTACAGTTGAAAGCATTACTTATTTACTATATATTACTATATTATTTTTTATGTTATATAAATTGCATAGGCGTTATTTTGCAACCATTTAAACCAGTAACGTATATATCTGTGAAGATTCCTAGTCGTCTAGGTTAGAGTTATAGTTGTATACCTTATTTGTCTTGAATTTACTGAGGCCCAAAGAAGCAGCATATTAATTTAGTTTAATAATGAGACACATTGGCTTTAAAATGCCATTGTTATTTAAAACTGTACATTTCTTGTCTGAAGATCTAGTTTACCATTTCCCATCTTATTTCTTTTTTGCTTATCAGGACCAATTCAAGAAAACATTTCCACCGAATACCTCATTCAGAAATATTTCAGAGACGATTACTCCTATAATGAAACTTTGGACATTTTGGCCTCAAAACATAAACAGAAGATCAGTGTGACCACACTGAAATGTAGATTAAAAAGTTTATCACTGTCCCCCCAAAAAAACATTACTCACCTCGGTGCAATAATAGAAGAGCTGAAGGGACCTGGTCAACATTATGGATACCGTTCAGTATGGCAGACACTGCGTCAGAAACACCATCTTTCTGTGAAAAGGCATGATGTCATGGTAATGATGGCAGAGCTCGACCCATCTGGAGTCCAAAACGTTCAAGAAAAAAGTTTGTATGAAGAGTTTACGATTCACCTGGACCAAACCACACTTGGCATGTTGATGGATATGACAAATTAAAGCCATATGGTTTGGCTATCAGTGGTTGTATTGATAGCTATTCACGGAAGGTATTATGGTGGTTTGCAGAGCAACTAACAGCAACCCAGAAGTCATAGCTCAACACTACGTTGAGTGTGCTTCAGAGTTTGGAGTCATACCAGTGTGACTTCGCACAGACTACAGCACTGAAAATGGGACGATGGCAGCAATCCATTGTGCCTTACGATCATCTCATCAGGATTTTTTTGCAGGAGCTGCCAGTCATACGTATGGATCTTCAACAACAAACCAAAGAAATGAAAGCTGGTGTTCGTACTTCAGAAAACAGCAGTAGGTTTTAAATTGTTGCCAGGAACCACTATATTAACCAGATAAAAGTGTGGCTGTAATATATAATCAGTGATTTAGAAGCCTTGCTGTGTATCACACCGCCTTTCCTTTATAGCTTCAATGTAGCCATTATGTTACATAGAAGCATTAGATAGAAAATATAAACTGAAATAGTCAATAAAGAAAGTAAGATGAATAGAAATCTCATGGAAAAAAGAAACACTTGGAGAAAGTGCATGTTAGATGGTCATTTGTGGTATAAGAAAATATAACCTAACTAAAGTATCCAAAATGCACGCACTTTACATCAACTCAAGAAACAATTTCATAAACGTAAGAAATAGTAAGGCTGGAGTCTTCTCTCACCCCCATTCTCTGCGGCCTGCTGGAGCGGGGGGGCTAGGAGGAGTTGGCCGTCCGACTGCGGAGTCGGGGCGGTCTGCCTCCCCCCACCGCAGGGAAAAGGGTAACACCACCTAAGTCTGGGTGCAGTTCCCCCCTCCAGGGGCAAGGGTACCTAGACCCGGTTCGTAGAGTACACTTGGGGAGTGTGATCGTGTATACAGCGTCTCTTTATGTCTGTCTCCACGTTGGTTGAGTGTGGAGTGAGTGCATATGAGAGCATGAGGGTGGGAATGGATGTTTGTGTCTGTGTGTGCCTGTATGTCTGTGTCTATATGTCAGGTTGGGTGTCAGGCGCACCTCTCTGGGGACATCTCAGGCCCTCCAAGGTTTGGAGGCCTATCTCCCCCTACCACCACTTCCCCTGCCAGTGGCGGACTCCCTCAGACATCGGTGCGTTGGTGGTTCTTTGTGTCTGGGGGTGGGGTCCGGGTACACACCGGCTCACTCCTTGGCGGCCGCTTATCGGGGCTGGAGCGGGCTCGCTCGGCCACTTCGGAGGTGGGGTGCCCCCGGCCTCTCGAGCCTGGGGCTCTGGTCACTCAGGCACGGCTGGCTGCCGGCGGAGCTCACGGGCGCGTCACTGCAACTCCCCCTGGCTTCTGCTCCGTGGCTGCTGAGTGAGCCCTCATCTGGGACTCTCCTCAGCTCTTTCTGGGACAGTGGCGCGGCTGCCCCTCTGTTGGTCTTCCTTGGTCTCTTGTGTTCTGGGGGCCTCTGGATGTCTGGAGTTTTGATCTCCTCCATACCTGCTTCATGCCCTGGAGGACGGGGCTGTGGCCCCCCCACACCCTCTAGCAGATCATTACATGAAGGAACCTTTAAAAAACAAAAAACAAGCGCGTCCATGCTCACAGGTGTACACACGGGTGATCACACCCACAAACTACACCCTTTTTGGCTCCTACCTCAAAGCACACTGTGTTCTGTTGATCTTATGTGCTGCACAATAATGTTTAATATTTAGTATTTACTGTCATATTCCCATATATCATTGTGATGTTGTTTATTCTATTACTCTTGTTCTCTTCTGCTTGTTTTCTTTTTTCTTTCTCAGCAGGTGATCCAGGTGATCGATATATGCATTTTTTTTTTTTGCTGCCCATTCTGTTGGTTTTTGTCTTTTGCCCTTCTCCCCCGTCCCTCTTCTCAGCTGTTTCTCTTTCCCTCTTTCTTTCTCCCCTTCTTTCCCCCAGTCAAGTCTGTCCCGTATTCAGTCAAGTGAAAATAAAATAAACAATAAAAGGTGAATCAAATGGACCATTACGGCAAGGCTGGGATGGTCAATTTGGTAAAGTAAATCCATTGGGCATCTTTCTTTGCCTTCAGACAATAATTCTGATGGCAAAAGAGCCAAACGGGACAGGCAAAAAAAAAAAAGAAAAAAAAAAAAGAAATAGTAAGGCTTTGAAGGCTGGTGCTTTGTGATCTGACACTATGTTTTTATGTCTCTTTTATAACCCAGTTCTGGATGGACCTTTTGAGTGACATTAGGGAAATGCACCTCTTTAATGGTAGTCATGAACACACGTTCTTGCTGCGCTTCATTTTCATGGCTTTGCTTCAAAGGGATCTGAATGAATGCAAAAGGAAGTGGAACACGCACCTGATTCCCCCAGTTAGGTTGTCCATCTGGTAAACCGGATGTGATGTATTACCTGCCTCATGTTTGTATCACTCTTGTCAATTAAAAATGTGAAAAATCTAAATTCTGTAATTTAAGTAGTTATCACAAAAATGACAGTTTATACCACCTTTTAATCTATGCACTTGATCATATGGTCTGCTCATACTGTAAGCAGACACCACAGTGTTTGCACCACCAAAAATTTGGACTAAATAGCTCTACTTTTTTCACATGTTGATTCCAGTGCTACAATTTATAAAAAGCTGTTTGATATTATCTCCTTAAATGCATGACAAAATGGGCCAATGTTTTCAGCAACTCAATTGTTCAAGATGGCACCACGAGAGGCAGCTAGTTACAGGAACT